CCCGGATGTTCCTGGTTCAATGTGACGAGGGGAAGGGAGTTTGGGGGGTTCAGGGGGCTGCATGCAGGGGGGCGCTCAGTGCCCGGATGTTCCTGGTTCAATGTGACGAGGGGGAGGGAGTTTTGGGGGTTCAGGGGGCTGCATGCAGGGGGGCGCTCAGTGCCCGGATGTTCCTGGTTCAATGTGTCTAGGGGGAGGGAGTTTTGGGGGATCAGGGGGCTGCATGCAGGGGGGCGCTCAGTGCCCGGATGTTCCTGGTTCAATGTGACGAGGGGGAGGGAGGATGCTTGTGCTACTATGGTGTCTGTGCAGGTAACCAGGGCACAAAAAGACTTTCCCATTGAGTTCAAGCAAGGGGGGAGGGAGTAGATGGGTGCATTATGGGATACCAACAACATGAATCCAGAACCACTCACTGAAGTTTTGGTCCCAGTGTGCACCAGGAGCATAACCCATCATGCAAAGCGGTGCAGGCACCATGGGATAGTTACCCACAGTGCATTGTTCTCCTAGTCAATGGCAGTCTCCCTACTGGGGACACACTACTTTGAACTACATTGAATTCTTGTACACAATGTGGCCATGGACCTTTGATTTTACAAAATTGGGTAGTAAGAAATCAAACTTAATATATTGGACCTTATCTCATAGTGTAGACATGATCAGAGACTTCCAAACACAAAGAATCTCACGGGTTTCCTAAGCCAGACTGAAAGATTAACACCAAGTATAAATTTGATAAGAATCTCTTAAATCACATCACAGTTTTCTTCTAAGAATACAGTGGAACATGGTGGGTGTAACAGAATGCCACAGAATGACTCGTGTGGATGCAGACAATCTCTAGTATCAACTAAGCAGAACCCCACAGAGCAGGATACAGAGAACGAGACAGATACCAATCCCCTACAACCAAACATGTACCCAAACTTAAGGGAACATGATACAGGGAGGGATTCTATTTCAATACCCACATGGGAAAATTCTGGTTGCGATGGCAAAAGGATGGATCCAGGAACAAAGGCTGGGGCACTCCGGGATACAGGAGTTGAGGCCTGCGGTAGAACTTGAAGTCCTGCTGGGACAGGTGGATTACCAATCTCCACTGGCTCTTCTCCTCTCTGCTCCTCCCGTTGAAGGTCTCCTCCTTCTGCTGGAGCAGAATTATCCATCTGCTCATCTGATTTGAAAGAGGGAAATTAAAAAGCTAATTATAGCTGCAAGCAACACTTTAATTTAAGGTTGCCTAACATATTCCATTAGAAGAACCTATTTTAGCTTTGTATAGCTTTGTCAAACTATTTTGGTTGAAATTTTCCATATGTACCATCTGCCTTGAGCTGAATTCTTTTGGACAGAATCAATAAAAATGGTTCAGCCATTTCCTAGGACCAGGATAGGGAACAGTATGTTTTGCCCATGTTAAAAAATTCATGCAACCAGTTTGAGAAATTCTAGCATGCTTCCGCTTTGATGAAGAGATTTGAAATTTGCCAGAGTTTGCCCTGATATCAGGGATGTGCCTTTTGCCATCCCTGTGAAAACAGACCTAAATGTAGCCATATATATTAACCTCTGAAGGGGGAGAGGAGAAACTCTATTTGTACATGCTCAGTAAATATGTTAGAGTCTGGTAGCATTATTCTGCCACACTGAGTATTGCTCCATACCTACCCAACTCCTAAATATCAATTGAACCATGCATGTCCCCACTCCCACAGAACAACAGAGCACACTCAATTTCAAGGCTGAGTAGAATGTTTTCTGCAATTGCTCTTCCAGCAACTGAAGTCTGCTGTGGTGCTGGACTCCAGAATAAGGCAAGGAACTTTTCTTCTGCTTTCAAGCCAAAAGGCACCATTATGACTATTTCCTCTGGGCCCCGGTAGACCTCTGGCATCACACAGGCCCGATAAATACACCCATATTAAAAGGGATGTTGCCATTTTTTGAGGACAGACTTGTAAGTCATATGTGGGGTAACAGCTAAGTCACTAAATGCCCAAACCAGTTCATCATCATGACCCCTAAGAACCACAAAGCCGCATTCCAGAGGAAACAAACAGGGGCAAGCAGTGTGGACACAAAAAGCTGCCATCCCCAGCCCAGACCCC